GTTATAGAAAAACTCTATATGTGGTTTTGGTTCCCAAACCAAGAACCAAGGCAAGAGCCACAAGTTCACAAACGGGAGCTGATATATCCACTATTCTAATTTATCCATCCACTTAAAAAAGATTTGTTTTCCAATTATACCCTTTAGTTAATTAAAAAAATATATGAAAAAAAGAAAATCTGAAACGGCATTTCCCTAATCCCTTTCCTAATTGGCTTTCAAGAGTCCAGCTCTTCCATCTCTAGTCGTTGCTCCTTCATCACAGGTCGGCAGTCGGTGGTCGGCCTTGCTTCTTCGCCATTCTCTGGCCGCCACTCGCCAGCCTCCAACGTTGGTACTTTTCCGGTGGCCACTACTTTAGTTATTGTTGATTTCATCTAATTAGAAAACATGCAATCCCAAATCAAATGATCAAAAAACAAAAATCCCATAAACACCCACTTCAGAAATCTGAAATCAAAGATCGAACAAAGGACCCGTCGGAGTAGGTCAACGATTCGCATCCTTGCAACATAACATTTCTTTTATTTCTTTTTCTTATGTATAAAAATCAATTGTCTGTACATAGAGTTCTAGTTCCGATCTGTTTAATCAATTTTAACAATCAATTTTATCCATTTCAATCAAATGACAAATGAAATCAGCAATTTTATGAAAGTATCATTTCCAATCACTTTTAACAGTAAAAGTTCCACTCCATTCCAATCTGATCAGTTTGATTCTAAACTTAAAAAACTTATTGATTAATCAAATGAACTAACTTAAAAACTTATTCAGTAAATAAATGAAATCAACAAATGATATCAACAATATAATCAACAATAACTAAAGCAGTGCCCACCGGAAAAGTACCAGCGTTGGAGGTTGGCGGGTGGCGGCCGGAGATCGACCACGAACCAACGCCGACCGGCGACTTGCGATGAACAAGCAGCAACCAGAGATGGAATAGCATGATTCTTGAGAGCCGATTAGGAATGAGATTAGGGAAATGCCGTTTCAGATTTTTCTTTTTTTAATATAATTTTTTTATTTAACAAAAAGGTATAATTGGAAAATCAAATTTTTTTAAGCGGAAGAATAAATTAGAAAAGTGGATATATCAGCTCCCTTCACAAATACATGAACCGGTAATCGCTTTTAATTAGGTCTTATCCACTTATTGTCGGTCAGCATCTACGTATATTTTTGTCGATCCACTTATTGTCGGTCAGCATCTACGTATATTTTTGTCGATTTGGATACAGTCAGCATCTACGTATATTTGCTTAACAACAAACCATAGTCGTCCTCAGGGTTTAAGGGAATTAAAACACTACTTAGCGATTGTGTGGAATGGAGACAGGACAGCAAGCCAACTATGGTGGCCACACCGGATATTCTACTACAACTCCTTCTGACTATTAGGGTTTTAGAATCATCTCTTCTTATCCCCAAAAGGAATGGCAGTTTCCTCTCTGTACACATCAAATTCTCTCCTTCACAGTCATTCTTTTTCGTATTTCGAAAGCTTGAAACTTTACTTACACAATGGGTTAAATTCAAGAAGACGAAAAAGCAGTGGCAGGTTTGCTGTATCGTCATCGCATTCAAATCCCAAAATTCTCAAGTCCAATCGTCGCTCTAGGTTCGGTCAGAGACTATCTCCTTACGATAGCGACAACGAAAATGAAGCTATTGATGACGATGACGATGATTGGCTCTCAGATGTGAGCTATCTCTTGCCTTCATTTTATCTTATATCGCGTTTTAGGGTTTATCGATTTATGCATTTTTAGGGTTCTTCAGTGGTTAATCTATAGCGTTTATTTCCGTTCGACTTCTTCGCTCAATACTATGCCCTTTGACTCTATGGTATATTGGTATTTGTACAGGGCCCAGGACCAGGTTATAGTGATGATAAAGCCAAAAGCAAGTTGCAAGCTGCAAGTAATGTCAATGGAGGTAGCATGTATTCAAGAATGGGTAGGAAGCTAAAAGTTATCAAAGGAAACGGAAAGGTCAATTTAAACAGAAACAACTACACAGAGAAAGATAAGGAGGCAGGGAAGTCTTCAAAGAACAAATATCGGCGTTTATCAGAGGAAATAGAAGTAGACGAAAAATGGTTTCCACTACTTGACTACCTCACAACTTTTGGCCTTAAAGATTCTCACTTTATCCAAATGTACGGAAGACACATGCCCTCACTTCAAATAAACGTCACTGCAGCACGAGAAAGATTAGAGTTCTTGATGAGTGTTGGTGTAAAAAGTAAAGATATAAAGAAAATCCTCATGAGACAACCACAGATTTTGCAGTATACAGTTGAAAGCAATCTCAAATCCCACGTGGCCTTTTTGGTAAATTTGGGAATTCAGGATTCAAGAATCGGACAGATAATTACTGCTACCCCATCGATCTTCTCTTACAGTGTGGAAAATTCATTAAAGCCTACTGTGAGGTATTTGATTGAAGAAGTTGGTATTAAAGAGAGTGATTTGAGTAAAGTTGTCCAATTAAGCCCTCAAATTTTGGTTCAACGGATTGATAATTCATGGAATGCAAGGTATAGATTCCTTACAAAAGAACTTGGTGCACCCAGGGACAATATAGTAAAAATGGTCACGAAACATCCTCAGCTCCTTCATTACAGTATTGAAGATGGCATGTTACCAAGAATTAACTTCTTGAGGAGTATCGGCATGCACAACTCAGACATATTGAAAGTCTCTACTAGCCTCACACAGGTAGTTTTTACTTTTTACTGATACTTTACTCTTTCTAGTTGCTACCACTATGGGTATATTGGGAAATGTTACAATGTACTTTGTTCTTTACCCATAATAGCAACATTGCCTATATTGAAATTTGAAAGTGGGTGTGATACAGTAATACTGATAATGTGTTTATGGGGATATGTAGGTGTTCTCATTGTCTCTTGAGGACAATTTGAAGCCTAAATACTTGTATTTGGTGAATGAACTTCAAAACGAGGTCAAATCCTTGACCAAGTATCCAACATATCTAAGCCTATCCTTAGACCAGAGGATCCGGCCCCGCCATCGGTTTTTGGTTGCCCTAAAAAAAGCTCCTGTGGGACCCTTTCCTTTAAGTTCATTTGTTCCAAATGATGAAAGCTTTTGTCAGCAATGGGCAGGAACTAGTGTAGATAAGTACTTGGCATTTCGTCAAAGGTTACTACTCAAAGATTTAGCAAAAAAATATGAAAGGTCATGATCAAAGGACGACAAGTTTTGGTTCTAATGTAACTCGAATTCTGTCACAAGTTTTGTGCTTCTTTTTATTTGGTAAGTCTGATGTTTATATATTTTTCTGAAAAATATTATGTGATTTTTCTTGAGGGTTGTTTATGTAATAATGTTATTTTGGTGCTAATGCAGGTTCTTTTAACTAATTTTGAGACAAGTTGTAATCGCTTAGTGAGAAATTGAGATTGGCTTCAAAATGATGCTTAATTTATTTCAAGGTTAGTATCCTTTTTACCTTTTTATATTTGAAAGTTTATAGAGTAATTAGGAATGGTAGAAAAGAATAATGATCATTAAAACTTTGATCCTGCGTTCTGTTCTTGCCATTGTTTGACCTAACATGTAGTTTGAAAAAATGTTTATTTCTCAAATTTCTAAAATACCCATCATTAAAGATTAGATGAGGAGATTTTTTCGACCCAAACCACTAGCATTGATTTTACTTCTAATGGTTAATTGGTTATGGTAGACAATAAGGCCTTGTTTCTCTATTCCCCCATGTTAAGTGTTATATGGATCAGTGATGTTTAAACTTTAAAAGATACTTGAGAAAGTGACCAAAATCGAAGCAGAATGTAAATTGGGCCAAATTTGCAAATATCAGGATTTACGGGGAAAGTCTTTTTGAAATTCTTTTTCTAATATACCGAAAAAACCTTATCAATAAAAAAGAATCATGATCATACTCTGTTCCTAATTCATACAGGTTCAGTTTGTTAAATATGTGGGTTTGCAAGAAGACACCCGGAATCTTTTGATTGAGAAATGTCCACTACTGGTTCGATTTTTTTTGTATATGTACGAAATGTGTCATGTGTTTTTCTTTTTTTAATTTTTATTAAAATTCAGGAAACTAAATATATGTAGAAAGGTATAGATAAGAGATTGTTCATGTCCATTCATATAGTTTTCAGGTTCTGATACATGGGTACAAGTCTGAATTTGCTCGAGACTAAGCTATATATATATATATAATATGTTATATGTATAAAAAACAGTTTTTCATTTGTATTTTTGTATTTGATTTTGATTGGGGTGCATTCCCTTTGTTAAAAATGGCCCTTGAAAATGTGAAGAGGCAGAGTTTGGTTGAAACTTTAAAAGCAATGTTGTGTTGATCTTGATCCTACCTCGTGCATCTTTATTGCACTCTGCACCTTTCTTTATGCAATTTTAAAATTTATTTGGCGACAACTGCTGAATGGGTCCCAGTTTATAGATAAAGAGTAATTCAATCATTAATATGCATCAACATAATACACTAACAATCATTAACTAACAGGGTGTTTATATTTACTTTTCTTTTCAACAACTTTATGTTGTAATAATTAGTTTTTGGTGTTCCAATATAACAGGGAATATCATTTACAGCAAGATTAATTACTTACGGAATTTAATTCGGAACTTTGGGAATATCCATTTAACCTCTCTTTTACCGCGACTCTCGTTAACCAAGATGGTCAAACCTCATTTCTCTATTCCATGCACCAACGCCATCGTTTTAATTCTCCAACAATTACTAAACAATTATATTTATTAATTTATTTGTTATTCAATTCAAGCAGTTGAGTAAAATCCAAATGCTAATTTCTGCAACATACATATTATTACTATATTGTACGAGCCTTTCAATTTACCAACAATTACAATATAATAACAACTATAAAGTTAAGAGAGCGGATAAAGTGTATTGACCAATCAATGCAACCCATTTCAGTTCATTAAAATAACTTTTTTTTTTTTGACTAATTTACCACCTCTAGTTATCCTGTAACGATTATAGTTGCTAAAATATAGAATATTCATTTAGCTATTATACTTCATCTACCAATTCCCAAACATCTTTTACCCAAAACCCGAAATTTCTTAACACGTTTATCTATCATTAATAAGTTAGCATAAGAAAACATATTTCCATCGCTATTTTGCTTCATGGAATAAACTAAAACTATACTTGTCGCATTGCTTTCTATTCAATCTTTCTCCTCTTTTCCATGTTCCATTTGCTATTATTTACCTCTCACTTCACTCTAAATGCTGTTCTTTTATTGCTACTTCCACTACATTTGCTTGCTAGATGCCTTGTTGCACGCAAAAGGGCTATCCGGGAGATTCAACCCTTGACTGTTTTCGCTACATAAACAAAGAAGCACAGTTTACTTAACAAATGTCACTAAAACAGAAAAAATAACAACATGCATCCAAACAGTGCTAAGACAGCCTTAGCACTGTTTGGGCAGTGACTGCTGATGGTAAACATCAATTTCACTAAACAAAAAGCACATCAGCAGTCACTGCACAAAAAGTTCAACATGCACCCAAATAGTGCGTGGGTGACTGTTGACTGATTATTTATTTATTTATTTTTGTGGTGACTGTTGAGTGCTGAGGGTAAGATAAAAGGTCATACTTGTCATGATCGGTGTAGTTGGCTCCCGCGTGATCTAACAGATGTGTGATGAGCTTTGGAGATTGGAACTTGGAATTATCAGCTTGATCTATAAAAGAGGAAAAAAAAATTGAGAAAATCACGAATAAAAGGCTAAATCAAGAAACTGAAGAAATGTAAAAAGCGAAGGATTACAATACCTTCATACGGTTTTTGTTCATTGAAGGTGTTTTCAAGATAGGAAGATCCATGTGCCAACTGAAGTTGTGATAGACGCATCATCTCTAGTTGTACTGCTACCTCGGGCTCATCCACTAGTTGCCTACCGAATAATCTAGTCGAGTCCAACCCTGTTTAATAATTTTTTAAAAAAATTAGTAAAAACATAAAATTTAATTTGTTTTGAAGAAAAGATTAATAAATATATATATATATATATATATATATATATATATATATATATATATATATATATCTTACTAGCTTGAAGATCGGGGTCCATGTCTATATGGTGTGAATGGTAACACATCGGACCCTCGAGTTTCTCAAAATACTTTCTGCATTATAAACGGAATGCAATTAGTTTATCTATACATTTAAAGTTAAATTAACACAACTAATACAGAACAAAAAAGTAGTAAAGATTACCGATCAAACAACTTCAATTTTTCTCTATAAGGTTTCACAAGAACACGGGCACCACAAACATAATGTGGGTTCCCTTTCGCCAAAACCATTTGCACCGTTTCCGAATTATGAAAAGTCACAAACCCAAACATCCGTTTTTGCTGACAAGGAATTCTCACATCTTGAACTGGACCATACGTACTATAAAACAAACAAAAGTTACCATCTCAAAATATTAGGAAATAGCAATGTACTTTATTTTTACCCATAATAGCAACAAACTTACATTTATTTACCAATAACAGTTATATATATATATATATATATATATATATATATATATTTACCTGAAGTAGTTAGCAGCATCATCTTCGGTGAAAGTGCTATCGGCTGGAAAAGTCAAATATATTTGCTTTGACCCACTAACAATAGGGCCCGGACTCAAACTACTCCTATCATACCAGTTTTCCATGTACATCGATGCATCATCAGCCAAAACTAGGAAATGTTGTCCATGAGGTCTGCAACTTAATTAGATCATAATTTTAACTCAAAACAGAAGTAAAACTTGGTAAAAAAGAACAAGAGGGATAAATAAAAAATATAAGAAAACCTGTCAATGAGGCGAATGCTGTTTTTTAATCGTGCAAGAAGCTTAGTCAAACTATAACCGGCTTTCCCGTGCCTTTGGCTTTCAGTTAGGTACCCTTCAGCTTGAAGGGTCCTTCCATATCTTTCATGGTAGATCATAGGCAATGAGGCAATTGAAATTGGATTACCCCTTCTTGATTTCAAGATTTCCGTGATCTCAAACTCGAGTTTTTCAAGTGAACCCGGTGAAAATGAAGCTTGATCATCACCCATAAGTTCATGGTTAAAGTCGTGTATAGATTGGGAGTGTAAGAACTTACATTTATTGCCGTGTTTACAATGGCCTTTACTGAAATAATGGCAGATTTTTGTGGGTATTACGTCTCTTCTACCTCTGACACTAAAATTCCCATCTGGGGAATAACAACTTTCAGTAAAACTTGTGATTTCTCGATTAAAAGGTTCCATTTGCTCTCCTAAACCTATAAAATTATCATGATTTTGATACCTACAATCATCGAGAACCATGTTTGGATAGTGTAACGGTGAATCCCAATGAGGCGTTGGGGATGGGATTTGTAGATTTGGTGGAGCCGAAAAGGGTCTATGTGAATGCAATATTGGGCTGAATTGAAGTGAAGGTGATATGGGAGGTGAAGGAGGTGGTTTTGCGATTAAATTCAGTTCGATTTTGGCTTTTTGAATTAGGTTTTGGATTAAATTGTCAGGACAATATGCTAAGCGAATCATTTCTCTGTCAGCATGATCAAGTAAGTATATGTAACCGATTATTTTACGAGTAATGGTCTCTGATTCTGTTTCTAGTATTCTATTGTACACAATTTTTGCAGCTTCGAAAGCTTCCATTTTCACATCTGAGAAGAAAAACCAAAATGAGAGATAGTTTATGAATGCAGTCAAAATTCATTGAATTAAATTGGGGAAGTGAATTTGAGAACAATACATAATTTCATCATGTCAAGAACTGATTTTATAAAAGGTGCATAAACATAAAAAGCCCTAAATTCGCTTCTATATCTGGAAAAATAAATTACATGAGAATTGAACATTAGTTTATGATTTGCATACCAAATCAAGAAAAGATAAAAATAATAATAAAGATAGAAAAGGGTTTCGATTATTTAAACAATAAAAAAAATCTTGATGAAATAAACCCAATATTTTGAACTTCAAGAAACCCTTGTTCCATGGTGATTTATTTTCAAGAGTTTTCAAATAATCTTGGAAAAAAAAAATAGAACAAAATTGCAATCTTGAACAAAACCCATATCTTGAAATCGTGAGAATTATACAGATATATATATATAAATAAAAAAATCAACTCACCCAACAAAAAAATCTTGAAAACAGAGTGGGTTTTCAGAATCAGCTGCACATGAACACGATGATTATCATCAACACCCTTCTTTCAAACCCTTCTCGTTGCAAAGTTTCTCAATCATAAAGCGACAACACCAGAAACAAAATTGGAAAACAAAATGACAAAATGGTGTGCTCTGTGTCCAGAGAGGCGAGTGTGTGTGTATTGAGTTTGAATGAGTATGTGAAAAACACACACACACTTACAAAAACAAGTGGGACACTTTATCCATCATCTCTTCTTTTTAGTAAAAGAAATTCACTCAAAAACACACAGTGAATGTGTGTGAGTATGTGTATAGAGAGATGGTGGTGGTAGTGTTTTGAAATGCCCCCACAATTTGTTTTTGCTACACAGCCCACTACAGCTTGGAGACGTGCATGCTCTATTTACCCTTTTACCCTTTTCTTTTTCCCTTCTTTAAATAATTATATTTTAAAAAAATAATTCAAAAAACCAACTGACACAAATCTCTTTCTCAGCAAAGTTCATAATTGGACCATTCGTTGCAATTTTTGAAGGTTGGATTACGGCTTGCATTTTGTATTAGCATCCATAACTATTTTACTTGATTTCTAACAATTTTTTAAAAACTATGAACACAGCTACAAAATTTGGTTTATATTTTAATTTCATTATAATAATTTAATAAGTTAGTGAAACAGTTTGTTATTTATTTGCATGCTACTTCAATGTAAAAATTCTATGTTGATATTTTTTACTTGAAATAAAATCTATATATTTTTTCACTAGGTAGTCTTTCAATCAAATCTAATTTTCTATATTCACAAAATATTTCTAAAACTGAATTTAAATACAATAATTATGAATTGATAACATATACCATCAAATGCAATATTAATCTCGTGTACCTAAAGAAAATAATAGGTATTTATACTATAACTTTTGTATAATATATATTTATTCAATGTAACATTTTCTCAAAATTTTGGACAGTTACTATAAAAAAGAATAATTGTAATCACTTAATATTTACATTGTTATTTTAGATCATTTTTCATTTTTATTAAAATCTATTATAGTTGTTTCTTTAAGGTTGTTAAGATCAGAATTTTATCTATAATCATTTTATATTTTGTAATGTCATGATCAAGATTGAAAGATTCTATCAAAGTTAACTACTCTTCAAATTTATTAGCAATGTCTTGTTTATACATTATTCATTATAACTTATTAAGACATCGATGATGAAATTGATTTTAATTTATTAAGCATAAGCTATAATTCTTATTGCTACAAACAACAAAACATAGGAAGAAAAAAAACATCAAAAATAAAAAAGGAAACAAGATAAGCGCGATCATATATAACTAAACACAGGATCTAAGTCTGCCAAATTTTAGATGAATGCATGAAAAACTAAACACGGGATCAGAGTCCGCCAACTTTTAGATGAATGCATGAAAGAGTGATACACAACGAGACTTTTCGCCTCTTGCGACATGTGATGCTAAATTTCAACTTGTATGAGCAGGGTTTTGAGGCTCGACTATATATACACTAAAGAGGTAGGATTATATCGGGTTAAGATTTTAAGATCCTAGTCGGGATTTTAAGATCCTAATTTAAGATAAATCATAGTATGATCGGAGTCGTTTTTCATTTGTAGGATTTTAAAATCATAACAACCATTATTTTTATCTATAAAAAAATTATTTCAATAAAAACAAAATTTTCAAAAATAATTAGCTATAAAGTTACCATAAAACTAGGGGTGACAAATCATACAGTTGTATCGTGTTTTTTAGCTAACACAACATGATACAAAAACGACTCAATTAAGACACGATCAGGTACGGTTCCACTATGGTGCCCATAGTGGCACCGGCAATCCCTTATTTTTCGGATACAGTGTAAAAATTTTCGAATTTTTCGTTTTTTCTACATTTGTGCCACTACGTAAAAGGAAAAATGTGCCACCGACAACACCTACGTGCCACCGGTAACACCTACTACGAAATCCTGGGTCCGTCCCTGGACACGATAAAAACAACAAATATGAAAAACATGAAAAGATAAAATAAAATAAACATTTATTTTATTTAATTCAAAACTAATCTTACAGGATACGACAAATACAATAAACATTAAGACGACAAAAACATGGTATGCCGAATCTTGAATGCGAACACGAAGACAAGTTTTAATTTCGTATCATATCCCATATTTTATCATGTCGTGTTGTGAATTGTCACCCCTATCTAAAACAAAAGAATAATACGATTCATTTGAAAATAATTTCGAGATAAAAGTTAACTTATGACATAAAACCTCAAAACTGTATTGGAATCAGTTAACTTTATATATAACCCTATTTATAAAATTGTATTTTTATATTTAAGTGACAAATCCACTTGTTTTGAGCAGGGTCCACATTTGTAATTTGTAATTAAAAATAATTATAAAAAAAGTGTAATGAAAAAAGAGATGGATAAGGGGTAGTTTAGGAATAAAAGAGAAAGGTTCAAATGACGAGCGGTTCTACCGGCATGATCAAAGGAGGAGTCGATCTCTTCGCTAGAAAAGATGGGTTACAGTTAAACCCAACCCCCCATTTTTCCCGCCAAAGCTACTTTGACCCTTTGACCAACCCAACTTTACAACACCAAACTGCACAAAGTACAAGTGGTAGCGTACATTTTAGTCATAATAGACAACAAACACTCGAATCATACACACATCCAATCATTTAAAAAAAAAGGTAAAAGATATAGCCCAAGTTTTATTTTGATGTTATTTACATCATCTAAAAAATTAAGAAGTTACCTTTATATAAAAATATATATGGTTGTAAAACGTCAAAACATAACCACCAAAAACTTAAATATAAAAATAAAAATGAATTGAAAAAAAAAAAAAAACAGCAAAGAGAGTTTCGTCACCCAGGGTAATTGGGTATGATAGTCATTATACACCGAATTTGGTATAATCAAATTGAAACACAATTGGCCTAATGGTTTTGTAGTATGGTATTTTGTGACATTTTACATTTTTCTTTTCTTTTTGAAACAACAAATAATTATATATTTTTCTCCTCTTTTTGGAACTAACCCAAAACCTCCTAATTAGTTGTTAGTTATAATCTCGTTCTTTTAAAGTTTCCGATAGCCAGATATATCGAATTATGATTTACAATGTTGATGGGTAAATGTAGATTAACGCACTTATAAATTGTATCTTCTTTTAAGAAATTGGAAAAGGTGAACTGCAAGCATAACAGTTATTTATAGCCAAATATTAGTAATAATAAGGTATTTTAATTATTTGAACTTAGAGTTACTTTTTAAACTTGGTAAAATACGTGTTCTATTTTGCACTTCTTATACATTTACCATGTTGGCCCAAACTAACATGTACTTATCAGATTCAGATGCAATAGATTTGGGCGGAAACTCATTTGATAAAAGGCGAACAAGTTAACCGGCTATTCGATGCTTGGCCATATTTCAGCTAACCTCTGTCTCGGCTTCGTGCGCATGGGCTCATGGCGAAGGTTCAGGCCCAAATCCGATGAATGGGCCTCTTACCTAAATCTTGTTTCTACTTCGATTTTTTTATCCGGATTTTTGGTCTTGTATTATGTAAACCAAATTTAGAAATGTTTAAGACTTAAAATGAACCCAACGTTCAACGAACTGTTCGTACACCGTTCGGCGGGAAGTTCGTTTATGTTCGTTTATTTAATAAATGAACGAACATGAACATAAATTTTCGTTCGTTTAGTTAAACGAACGAACATGAACAATGGTCTTGTTAATTCAATTATGTTCGTGAACGTTCGTTTATGTTCGTTTATATAAATTCCTTTTATGTTCATCTATGCTTAATTGTGTTTGATTACATTACTATATTATATGTTAATTTATGTTCATATAGGTTCAATTATGTATGTTTATCTTTGTTCATTTATGTTCGTTTGTTTATGTTCGTTTAGCATGTTCACGAACATAAACGAACGAACATGAACAATGTAATTTGTTAAACGAACGAACATGAACAAGAAAAGTCATTCGTTTATCCGTTCGTGTTCGTTTATTTGTTTGACTAACTTAAACGAACGAACATGAACACGTCCCTGTTCGTGTTCGTTCGGTTCATTTACAACCCTAGAAATATTCATCCAAAACCCAAAAGGGTTCATTTATAAAAACCCAATCAGGCCACAACGTTTGAACCCCAACCCGAAGCAATAAATGTGTAAGTAAATCAAGTACTCTACAACCGATTTAGATAAAATCATTTAAAAAAAACTATCAAATCGCAAAAACAACAAAAAATCGACTACGTCTTACAAACTAACTCAAAATTATTTTTTGCATAATAAGCAATTTGATTAAAAAATGTTTAAAACTACCTGCTAAACTATATAGCAAATGTAAAATAACATATAGGGATATACATAGCAGAAAATTAGCATACAAAATATACTTCAAAACTTCTGAAAAAACCAGATAAACCTATCAATAAACTATTTCAAATAAACCTATCAATAAACTATTTCATTTTTTTTAAAAAGCTAACTTATAAACTACTTTGGTATAACAAATTGCAATAAGTTCATTTCTATACAGTTGTGATGGTGTGGAGAGAAACAATTACGTAGAATAATTGGGACAAAACTATAGCCTAGGAGCTTTATGGTTTTTAACCAAGCTCTTTTATACAAATAGATGTGGTGTTTTCTAACTTTACCTGATACAAAATGGGTCCGGGTCTTAAAGGTCATGCATTGAAATAGGGGCGGTTTGGATGTGGAGGGAGGGTGAAAAATTTCGAGAACTTGGGATAAAATTAGCGGATCTATAAACTTGTTGCATGATCGTAACATAGTTCAAAATTCATGTATTTTAAGGTGTAATGCCTGTTTCGCGAATAGTCAAATATTATTTTTAAGGAAAGTAAGAAAGTGGGTTTTGGAAAAACCCTAGTTCATGATGCGCTTATGAAACATCCCAAAAATACTAGCCAAAAATTTCGTTTTCAGAATCATTTAACAAACATAAATATCATCGCCATAGTATAAAATCAATAAACATGTATCTCAAAATCTCATAAAATATGTCATCATATCACAATCTCATATAAAATATCAGAGTAAACTCTCAGGCTAAGAAAACTGTGGTGTGTGCCATGCCATCATCCCGAGTCCTTTCCCTTGCTAGCTGAAGTACCTGAAACCAAACTGAATCTGTAAGCACGAAGCTTAGTGAGCTCCCCTAAACTACCACATATCATACAAATCACGTATAACAAATAACATAACTCTGGGACTACTCCCAACTGCATCGGGACGAATCCTGGCATCGGCTTACCTAACATCGGGCTCACCCCGGCATCCGACCACATCGGGCATCGGGCTCACCCCGACATATACACAGCATAACATATATCATAAACACATAATCTGCATCGGGCTTGCCCCGACATCGGACAGAAGCCTAGAACACATAATCATAACATATAAACTAGCATACATCGGGCTTGCCCCGGAACATATAATTCATGGCATAATGATTAAC